CGCCGGGTCCCGGAGATCCCCCGGGAACATCCCGGGAACGTCCCGGAGATCCCCCGGGAACATCCCAAAGATCCCACCGGGAACATCCCGGAGATCCCCCCGGGAACATCCCAAAGATCCCACCGGGAACATCCCGAAGATCCCCCGGGAACATCCCGGAGATCCCCCGGGAACATCCCAAAGATCCCCCCGGGAACATCCCGGAGATCCCACCGGGAACATCCCGGAGATCCCACCGGGAACATCCCGGAGATCCCCAGGGAACATCCCAAAGATCCCCCCGGGAACATCCCGGAGATCCCACCGGGAACATCCCGGAGATCCCCCGGTGGGTTCCCGGTGGGTTCCCGGTGCTGCTCCAGCCCCTCGCTCCATCCCCTCCTCTTCCCTGCAGAGTGAATTCAGCAAAATCCCATTTCCAGAGGAAAACCCCCCCCAGAGCTCTGGGAATTCTCCCTCCTTGAAGGCACCAGAAGATTCCAAAGGAACAGGAACACGTGGAAGGGGAGGGTGATAAAGCACGGCCCCTCCAGTCACACCGGGTCCCACTTTTCTTTGGAAAAGTGATGGATTTTGGAGTCTCTTGTGGAGAAGAGGCATTTCCACATGGCTGTCCTGGCTGAATTTTCTGTGCCAAAAGGACTCTTGGCTCCAAGCCCCCCGAATCCAGCAAAACAGGGAAGTTTCCCACCTGCCCCGACCCCACAGGAATTTCTGGTGCAGAACAGAAGGATCGGAGCTGGCTGGAAGGAGAACAGCCAAGCCGGATTTGGCTCCAGGCGAGTTCACCTCCCGCTGGGAACTCCCAAAACGAACCAAGGCTGACCCCAAAAATCCAACAGCCAATCCCAAAACCCAACGAGCCCATCCCAAAACTCCAGAGTCACGCAGATCCCCGGTCAAAAAAAAAACCCCAAAAAAACCAAACCCCCGAAAGAACAATCCAAAAAAAGTTTAATACAACAGAGAGTATCAAAACATCCAAGAACACACTAAGCCTGAATTTTCCATCGGGGATTCCCGACGGAGCCAGCCCCCCCGGCAGTCCCGGCCCCTCAGTCGGCGGCCTCAGGATCTGTCTGTGCCATGTAGGCGTCCAGCTCGGCGTCCAGGTGTCCCTTGGTCTTGGACATGTAGGCGTCCAGCTGGTTGTCCAGCTGCTCCTTGGTGAGCGCGGGGCGCGCCGAGCCTCTGCCGCGGCCCCGGCCTCTGCCGCGCCCGCCGAATCCGNGCTCCTCGGGCCAGCGTCCCCGCCGGCCGGCCCAGCCGCGCCTGGATGTTGCTCTTGCCGAGGCGTTGCTTCAAGCTCTTCTGGAAGAGAAGACGTGGGAGGAGGGACAGGAGTCATGCAGCAATCTGGGACCGGGGGACGACGCGCAACGAGCCCAGGGCTGTGCCTGGAAGCCGGGCCTGCATTCCCAAGCCACCAGCACGGGAACTTTTGGTCCCCTGGGGGGTTTAAGGGCTGGCACCGACCGGCAGCGACTGTCGCTGCCGTGGGACTGTGAGGTGAAGCGCTCGGCAGCTCCCGGACCCCGGGATGAGCCATTTCTCTGGAAAAATAGAGAGGAGACATCAACAGCCAGCACCCGACACCGACAACCCGGGAATGACGGCGTGTTACTGATCCCAGGGGAAAAACAGGAATCTTCTGCAAGTCCCTCCCAGGAATGTCATTTTTAGCATCGTGGAGTTGGGAGGGATCCATCAGGATCATCCAGGCCAACTCCTGCCCCTGCACAGACACCCCAAAACCCACCCTGTGCACCCCTGGAGCCTCGGGGCAGCCTCAGGGGGAAGGACCTGCCCTGATCTGCAGCTCCAGCCATTCCCTGGATCATCCCCTGGGAGCAGGGATTGGAGCTGCAGCGCCCTCAGCCACTCCTCGTGTGGCTCCTCCTTCTCCATCCTCCTGCTCCTCCTCTGGACACTCTCCAACACCTCTTTTTTACCGAATCCCACAAGTCTGCAGGTTGTTAAAGACCTCCCAGACCACTGAATCCAGCCCTCAGCTTGTCCCCAGCCCAGGGCACCGTGTGCCACATCCAGCATTTCCCTGACCGCTCTTCCCAAGGAAAAAACTCCCAATTCCAACCTCAGCCCCCGGCCAGGGAGCTGTGGGGAGCCAGAAGGGCCCCCCTCTGTCCTCCAGCAGCTCCCCACACTCACCCTCCATCCCCTTCCTCTCTCCGGCCTCCTCCTCCTCCTCCTCCTCTTTCTGGAGCCGTTTTTTCCACATCCTGCAAGGCCCAAATCCCCTTTCCCCTCACCTGTTTGAGCTTCAGAGCGGCCTGCACAGACGGTCTGTTCTCCATCTGCTGGGCCAGCCGTCTGTTTCGGGCGCTGGCCAGCTGCTGCTGCTGCATGGTGGCCCGGATATTCACCGGCATCGGCTGTTTGTTCTTCAGCATGTTAGTGAAGCTTCAAGGTCGAATAAAACGGGGTTTAATTAAAGCTTAAAAGACACAATTATCGGCATTTCACGGTGCTCGAGTGGGGCTCCAGCTCCCATGAACCTTATGCAAAGAGTGGCACTTATGGGATCCCGGATCCCTCGCTGGCCGCGGGGACCGGAGAGGCAGGAATGAGGTGGAAGTTTCCAGTGGGAATGAGAAAGCCGGAGGTTAGTGGGGTTTAGAGATGGCAGGAGGGCTGACAACCAGCAGGAAGCGGGGATGGGCGTGATGGGGAGGGGAGAAACAGAACAGCAAAAGCCAAATTAACACCCCCAAAAAAAAAAAAAAAAAAAAAAAAAAAAAAAA